GAGTCTCTGACTCTGAGTCTGAGAGTCAGCATGCTGTCGAAGGAACAGCAGATGGTCATTGGCAAGATCATCCCTTGGCTGAACGATTTTTTCGGAGGCTCCGGCGATCCTGAACAAACTGATGCAGTGGAGATCTGCACTCGGCTCAGTAACTTTCATGCGGTCACTCCACTTGGTTGATAAACGATAACACAGCAAACACTTTGAATTTGTTTTGAAGTGATTTCCTGATCGCAAACTTCGGCACAGACACGCAAAGCTTGAAGAACATGTTCCTGGCTGTGCAGAAAAGGCTGCATGGCATGGATGCCCCGTGGGTCTTCAGAGTGCCAACCGCCGATGATCGAGTACCACTGGTCGAACAGGATGTGACGCAGCAGCTCGTGCTCATGCCATGGCGTTTAAGTTTTCGGCCAGAACATTCTCAGAAGGGCAAGAGCAAAATGCTGAATGTCATCCGGTGCGCCGCTGACTTTCTAGAAAAACCCTATGATAGCTTGACAAATCCGATTCAACTCTGGCTTCCTCCAGGGCTGCCTGCTGCCGGAGAACCTCTGCCGGATTTCGCCCTCGGCCATTCGATCGGCTTCACAAAGAGCTTAGCGATCAAGGCGATCCTCTTTGCAGTCCACAAGATGAAGGACCTATCAGACGAGGATGTGAAGCACATTCTGCCACAGCTGCAGGCCTTGTACAACTTTCGCTGCACATGCCACACGACAGGCAGCATCAAGTTTGACAGGTTCCGGTCCCTGCAGGACAAGTTCGCAGAAGCAGCTCGACCAAGGCCAGATCCCACTCAGGTTTCGACATTGCTCATGGCACAAGCGAAAGAGGAAGGTCTTGCATGGACTGAATGTGCAAGTCTCATGATCGACGAGTTCAATGGTGGCTCGAGCAACGAGGCCAAGAAGCTTTCAGAGCTGGAGACCAGCATAGTCGTCATCTATCCCACCCTCGACTTGGACACCCAGCAGCTCATCGACTACCACTGGCAGCTGTATGCACCCAAACAGTCTGCCATTCCTTACAAGGCCTTGGCGACCAGTGCGTTTTTCCAAGGCAGGTTGTGCTCTCGTTTCATAAATCTATCATCAATCATGTGAACCACTGCCGGCTGTGCTGTTTGTTTTGTTTCTTGGAGGCATGGCTCCGAAGAGCAGCATGAAGTCTGACCTTTGGGTGCAAATCCTCAAGGCAGACAATCGCAAGTGGTACTGGTTCGTGAGGCGGAAGGTGCAGTACTTTCTCTTCAAGCTGCAAGATGCCAAGCGGTTGAAGAAGAAGGTCAACTTGGCCACAGGAGCAGCATATTATCGAGACCCAAAAGAAGCAGACGCGGCTTGGGGTATGTCGGCTCTCTTCGCACACTTCCACTCAGAGTTTCAGAGGGTGCTGACCTCTATGCAGCTGCAGCAGCTCGAAACCAAGTTTGCACGAGGCTACCTGGACGTCGAGCTCTTCGAAAAGTTCCGTGTCATGAACCCACAGTTGAAGGTGGAGAACTTCAGATTTCTGGCAGATGTCGGCGCGAAGGCAGGGAATTTGCAGGAAAACACAACCGTCTTTTCCAGTGACCTCTGCACCCACTCATCCCATGCCCTAAAACGCCAGCTCCCGTGATCCTCTCAGGTCGCTTGCGGAGTCCCGGAGTCCCAGATCTCAGAGTCCGACGCTGACCTCGATGTGCAGAAGGCAGAGCTTGCAAGAGCGATTGCCAAAGTCACCAAGGAGGTGGCCGGGTGGTCCAGCTACCAGGAGAAGAAATCCGACTTCATTCGGAGTGCGAAAGGTCTCGCAGCAGAAGCCCAGGACGAGCAAAAGGCTTTGCAGAAGCAGGCCGTGGAGACGTGGCAGGAAAACCGGTATCCGATTCGGGACTTGCGCGAGGCCTCCCACGCCATCACATTTGCTGAAACCTGTGTTCGCAAGTTCCAGGATGAGCAGAGCATTCCTGATTGCAACATGTTCAAGGTCTTCTGGATGAACCCAAGTGTGCTTGGCTACGACTCCTACAGCGGTATGCAAGCTGCTATCGCAACCTACGCTCCGCTTGTCGCGGCAGATCCGGCCAAGACTGTGATGATCATCGCGGCGCCGACTTGTGGTAATTGGGGTAACGACCTTCAACTGCATGGTAGCTTGCTGACATGATCTCTCCACACTTGTTGTCTTACCTGCTCTCCCTGCAAACAAGGAATACATCGAGGCCAATGTCGGGGAGGCCACACAGAAGATCTCCGAGTGTGTGTCCCAGCCGGAGAACCGACTTCTCGTTCGCGAGGTCCTGATGTGCTTCGACCAGAGCAGCATCCCGGCGCAATCCAAAAGGCCGGGCTTCCACAAGTTCTTTGCTGCCCTCTCTGACCAGTGCGACAAGGAGGGCCGCTTGATCTCGGAGTTTTCAAGGTCGGCGCTTTGGAAACGGCAGATGCTTCCAGTGACTGTGAAGAACTCCGTGATGCCAATTCCCATGTTGGCCCAGAAAGACATGGTTGACCCGCGCCGAGGTTTCAGCCAAGTTGGTGTTGTTGCAGACGGTGCCAGCAAGTCGTCTCGACGCAAGCAGTGGATTGCAGGATTCAACATTCCGGCAGCGTTCCACGATGCTCTGTGGCAGGGTCTCACACTTCAACAGCCATCAGGTGTTTCTTGGGTGGATGTGTTCGCCTACGACCACTCTGTGGCCGAAGCATTGATGAGACGTGCTGCAAGTCCAGCTGTTCCCGCCCCACAAGCAATCTATGTTGGTGTCGTCTGGGCTGACTCGAACAGTCGAGACGACAAACACACAGAGAAGGGGGCTGCGATTGACTCGAGAAAAGAGAACGCAAAGATCTCACGCTGGCTACAGTCGTCCATCCGCCGAAAGTTGCAGCACATCGCACAGGAGAAGGCCATCTCAATTCCGGACTGGAAGCCACTCGTGTCTTTCAAGGACATGCGGGAAGTACCCGCCGTTCAGGAGAAGGATTTCGTGGCCACCTTCCCGGGAGCAGCGGACACCATCCCTTTCAAGGCCACCTACCTGGAGCAGATGGACAAGAAGCTTAGCAACCCTGATCTCCGAGACCAGTGGGACCGCTTCGTCAAGGATCACAACGAATGCTACAACAAGAGCGGAAAGCCGCACCAGGGTGAGAAGCGTTCCGCTGACGAGGCGGCCGGGCCACCGAAAAAGAAGGCGAAACTCCTGAGTTCAGAGGCCCAGAACCCAGAGTCCTTGACCGTGGAGCAGATGAAGGAGAAGGAAGGGCCGGTGGTGGAGATTGACCAGAAGACCTACAAGGTTTTCTTCACGTCCAAGGGTTCCATTTGGATCCAGACCACGTGCGAGGTGGAGCTGGACGACACCAGTCCTCTGGCCCTGACTTTTGGCAAGTTCAAGATCAATGAGGCACGCACCATTTGCAGCGTCCGATGCGCACATCATGCGTGCAGTTTTGTGCTTTGCGCACACATGTCTAGACAAGCCCACTGCTGCAACAGGAAGCGGAGGCGGCTCTCAAGGAGGACAAGCTGGAGATGATGGACATTGGTTTCGGCAGCGACGAGGACATGTGTGGAGCTCGCAAGCTTTCAGACAACAAGCCGGAAATCTCGCCGTTGATGACACTTCGCTCACATTTGCAGTTGATGGAAGACAAGAAAATGGATGTCACCAGCATCGAGTTTGCCTGTCACAAATTGAAGCCGAAGGTTGCGAAGGACTGTGCATAGTTCCTTCTCTATTATTTTTCCCTCAACTTTGCTCGACCCAAACAAACTCCGTGAAAAGCAGCACAGGACTCAGCTGGCGATGCTCAGGATCGTGTTTTCGAGGTGAAGAAGTGCGATCCTTGTGTCTTCGTCCCTCAGCCGACCCCGCGCAAGATGACGAACAAGAAAGCCCAGCCTGATTGGGACGACGTGGGCAGCATTGCCCTCACCTCACCCGACACCAAGGCAGCCTGGAACCTGAAGGATGGCAGCCATGCCGAGGGCTTGGTTTTTTTTAAGCAGCGCTGGGTTTTGATGGACAACGACCAAGGCCTCAGTTTCAACCCAGAGAAACCTGGGATTTATTTCACAGGGCCTGTCAAGATTGAGTCCAAGAAGCTGGTCCGTGTAGCTTGATTTGCAGGCATCAAGGGCTTGCTTGTTTCTAGCACATCTAGTGCATCAGGCCTGAACCAGAATCTCTGGGTCCCTTGTTGTGAGACAATCATGCTGAGCACCGTGCCGAAGTCACCCCTGAGTCCCAGAGGTCTGAGTTCTTGAGTCCCTGAGTCTCCGAAAGGGAGCAAGCACGTTTTGAGATGATGCGAGCTTGTGTGTGTTCTGGTGTGTACAAATGTAAATCAGCTCTGCAAGCAGGTGCCTGTCATGTCTGCATGTGTTTTGCTGGCATCTTGATCATTCCTCATGTGTTTTCTGGCACCTGCTTGCCTTCTGACACTATCTCTTTGAATCGCAGCCAAGGGTTCAGGACCCCGGACTCAGAGTCACAGAGTCACACAGTCACAGACTCAGAGTCACCGATCATGGCCCCTCGTGCGTTGACGCAGAACGACTCGGTCGGCTCTGAGGACTGGTATGATTCTTGTCAGCAGAAGCAGCCCGCTGTTTTTGACGAGAAGCCCTCACTGCCGGTGTGGTCAAGATCTCCGAAGAGAGGACTTCAGACCCAGGAGAGCACGGCTGAAAAGAGGCAGAGAGTCGATGCGAGTGCGTGGAAAGACTGGACGAAGCCAACCCCTGGGCGTGAGGAGTTGAAGGCAGACAAGACAACACCCAAGAAGCCGACGGAGAAGAATTTTCAGCAGCAGCAGCAGATGTTGCTCAACAAGCAAGCCATCGCAGCCTCAGTAGCTGCCCCAAAAAGCCGCTCAAGCTGCCGAAGCCTCCATCAAGCTGGCTTCGTTTGCCACCCAGCAAGTGGACAAAGCTAAGACTGCTGCCGCGCAAAGCCAATCTGCTCTCAAGAAGCAGCCTCCTACGACACCTCCGAAGCCTCACCAGCCCAGTTCCACTGCAGCATCCAATGGCCATGATGGCGAGGACAAGCCTGTCGCCGAGGACGAGAAGCAGGCTGCTACTGATGAGAATACCAGCGGTGCTAAGAAGGGCAACCTCGGCAAAGGTCAGGAGTCGGCTGGCAATAAGCCAGCTCAGCTGATGCCGAACGACTCGACGTCGGAACCCCTCACCTTTGGAGGGCCATCACACTCAAGCTGTTTTGGCTGCTGTCGGTCAGGCCATGTCCATTCCATACGAACAAGGCCCCGAACAAACTCTAACTTGTTCAACCCACGGACATGGCTCCTCCTGTGGGCAGCCACCTGGGCATGCGACAAAGGCACTGGGTGCTTCCAGTGCAGGCTCATGTGGAGGAGAAAAGGGGCTGCAATGTGCACCAGCCATTCGCCGAAGTCATCTTCGAATATTTGCACAACACGCCTTTCGGCCAACCGCAACACAACTGCCAGACTTACTCTGGCGCTGGTGACACTCGCAACAGGGACTGCCGTCGAGCCCACAGCTCCAGCATTCAGCACAGCAACTGCAGCCTCTTGCTCAATCTCGCTCAGATTGACGCCTGCTGCCTGCACAACCACTTGCTGGGGCCCAGGCTCAGGAACAACAGCATTGGCCTGATGCATGAGTGCTTCCAGGCTTGCCTCATCGTCCACCAAGCGAGGAAGTCTCACATCCTCAACCTCGAAAATGTCAGCTACCTCTCCTGGCTCTGTGTGGCGATCCCACGAAGCTCCACTTCTCTGCCTGCATTTTCGCAGCTCCACACACAAACCTCCCGCATCATCCGCACAAATATATCTTCAGAGCAGGCTCTTTCTAGCTGTAACAGAACAGTCCTTGCATCTTGCTTGCTCACCTCAACCATGGGATCTGGAGCCTGTTTTTGCAGCCACTTCACACGTGGAAACTCCTGCACCAGCATTGTCGTTCGGTTGCTGCTCTCTGCTGTGCCTTGCTTCACCTTGGCACGGTTCTCTGGCCGGGCATCAACAACTTGACAGAAAACGAAAGCCTCGGATGTGAAATCAGGGAGTTCCATCTCTTGCTCTCCCAAGCCAGCTTTCAAAGTCTTGTTGTCCAATTCAAAGCTAGGGCTGTCCGCATCCTCAATCGCCTCCTGATACTCTGGGTCTGATCCCAAGAGCTCAAAGAGATCTGATGGGAAGCTGCACAGGACACCGTTGCCCAGCTGTTGCTTCAGAAAAGAAACCCACTGTCGCATGTCAGCAGTCAAGGTGACCTCTGGCCTGGCTTGCCCCGCTAGAGCCCTCAAGAAAGCTGCTGCTGCATCATCATCCTCAGGTGTCCCCGCAAAATGATCTTGCTGGGAGAAGCAGTAGCAACGTGCAAGCTTTTCGGCCAAGGACATCTTTGCAATGTCGGCTGGGGCTACCACGTGTCCAAGCAGGTCCGACCACATGCTTCGAGTTCTCCAATTCATGATAACAAATTCCTTTTCGGCTGCAGACTTCAGCATGGCGACAACCTGCTGTCTACGCTGTCTGGCACAGGTGGTGGCTGGCATTGCTTTCTTGAAACCCCTCTGCAGTGCCCACTTTATCCCTTTGTGCTGACTTTCCAGATGTCGCTCAGCAAGTGGAGTGAATGCTCGTTCTTGCACAGCAACAAAGGCATGAGGGAAGCATTCCAAAGATCGAAGATCCTCCGTGTGCTCGTCTTGCATGCAGAATTCCCAGAGCTCTTTGCTTTCTGCTGTCTCCCTGCCAAAGAGATCCCGGCTCACCACATCCATCTCATGGGCTGCTCGAAATTCTTCAAAGCAAGAACGCCAGCTCGCCATCCGGGCCCTCCATTCTGCTCACGAAGCAGCCCCCTCCCTGCCAAGCCAGGCTGCACAGCCGTCTGCCTTTCCACGGGCAATGCTGGCCCGAGCCTGCAGCAGACGACCTCTTCCTCTTGCCTCTGAAAGCAATGGTTTTTTCGTGACAGAAGCAACCCTCCAACCATCGAGCACATTCACCAAGGGCGCCGCTCAACGAACACGTCCAAAGAGTCATGACCTCGTTTCGCTCGGACCGCAAAGCTGACCCGATGGTCTTGGCCAGATCAATCTCTGTGTGGCCGAGCGATGACTCATCGGACCACTTATCACGGAGAATGCGAATCGCACGAAGCCAAAACTTGGCAATAAACTCGATTGATTCCCATCGCCAATCCAGAAGCTGTACTTGCAGCCCTCGCAGATGCGCCTCGTCCGCTGAGGTGAGGCCAGGGCAGTACTGGATGACAAGCTCCACATAAGATTTGTGACCAAAGACCTTGCTGACAGCTCGCAGCTCAGTCTCGAAAGGCTTCCAGTCGTCACACAGCTTGAGAGCATCTTCAAGTGCGTTGAAAACACTGTGAAGCACACCTGGGCAGCCCAAAGCATTGTAAAAGCAAGGCACCTCTGCAACATCCGCTAAAGAGGTATTACCATCCAAGAGGCCTTTGGCCAACCCATGGAGTGTTCGTCTCTCACAGAACGGATAAGAGAACAAATGCTTCTCAGTCCCCTGGTCACTGAGGTACCCTTTGACCTCTTGCCGGTAAGCGGGAATGCCCTCGGTGCCCTGCTCCTGGATGATGGCACGCAGCATCCGACTGAATTTCATGCTGCTGTTGCCATGGCCTCGGGCCAGGGTTGTCAAGGGCATTGTTCTCCTTTCCCACTTAAACCCGCCAAAGGCATTGAAGTCCTCTGACTCAATCACCCAAGTTTGTGGATCTTTCGGTCTGCTGATGATCTCTTCTGTTATCGCAAAGTAGTCGTACCCTCCTTGCGGCGAACTGTCTGAAGCCAAGTACCGGGCTCGCCTGAGCTCAGGGTTGCCAGCTCTGGAGAAAAGTCGCCGGCTCAACGTGTGCAGCAAATCAAGCTTTGTCAAGAAGAAGCCAACAACATTGTGGTTGGGCACCCGGATATCTTGGAGAACATTCAAGGAAAGCGCTGGCAGCAGCATATCTCCAACGAGCTGAACAATGGAACCAATGTCACCTAAGTTCTGGCAATAATGGCCTAAAGCGCCATAGAACACACTCAGAAGTATGTCATGCTTTGGCACCAGAGCCCCAGACAGGCGTGATGCCTGCACCATCTTTGCAGGCAATGCCTTTGTCCGTGCTTGAAGCTCGAGCTGGCCAGAAACACTGATTTGCAATCTCTTGGCATAGCTTTCTGGCAAGAGAAGCCCATCCAGCGGGTCAGAAGACAGAGCACGGTCAGCACTGCTGCAAGGAATAATCACACACCTCGCCTGCCTTGCTGCTGTGCTGCATTGCACACTTTCGCAAAAATCCCGAAACGTGCAACTCCTGAGATTTGTGCCATCAGCAAAATCCACAGCTACACCTGCAATCCTGCTCAACAAGCCTATGTTGGCAAAAGAACCCACAGGCTGAAACTGTTGCCCAACAAAAGAAGCTCTGCCAAACACATAATATCCTTCAGTTCGAAACCTCTGCACAGAAAGCGCCCATATGAAGGAGGTGGCTTCGAGGCTGCTCTGAAGATCATCAGCACATTCCTTCCTGTTCTTTGCACGACTGACCTGGATACTCCGAAGCCAATCATCTTGCAAGGAAGGCAGATGCAACTGCAGTTGCTCCGCAGACACAGACTTTCCTGTGCTTGACTGTATGCACAAGGACCCATCAAACCGCACCACGTCAAGGCCCTCTTGGCCTTTCTCAGGTCGCGAGAAAATCAAAAGCAATTGGCCGCTCCTAGTCTTCAAACCTTCTGCAGCCTTTCTTTTCTTTGGTTTCCCCTGTTGGGGTGGCCCAAAATCCGGCTCCAGATCATCCATGGGCAGCAATGCCAAAAAGTTCTTGCGACACGTCAAAACTCCATAGTTCCAGACTCACATGTAACATGTTGTTTGGAACCAGAAAAATCACAACAAGCATGGAATCACATGGGATGAAATCATTACAAACGAGTCCTAAACTAGCACAAAAAATATGCTGCTTTGTGATTTTCTGGAAAAGGGCTAATATTCTGGATGCTGAAGCAAGAGCCATCGACAAATCTCAGAACGAATGATTTGCGCTGAACACGGAACACGACGAGTCCTTGTCCTCAAAATCATATGTTT